CATTCTAAGGTATATAATATATACGAATGATAACATATCTATGAATATGATTTTCCATTTCTGCCAATAGATCCTCCTAAATGTTTCACACTGGGCCTTTCAGTCGTAAACACAAGAGATAAAACCATTTAGATCAGACTTCAGAGAATGGATCACCTGAATTTTTTTTCTCACTTGCTTTAAAATTTCCTAAAGTGTTTAATTATTTATTTAAAAACTCAACAAACATTCAGGATGAATCTACATTTGAACTAGTTAAACTGTAAATAAACCCTAGACGGATAAAGATTCTCCTTCATGTGCCCTTAAACTTGTATTTAACATTAGTTTGTGTCTTATGTCACAATGTTAATGTAGTATTGGGAAATCTAGGTAAAGTCCTTGTATGAATTGGGTCAGTTTCACACATCACAGCAAGCTATTTATGGTTCCTCTATACTCACCACCCAGAAATCAAGTGTGTACATACAGTGTGACAGGACACCCATTAATGACCCCGCAGTCCATCTTTTCCTGTCAGGCGCCTGGTGTATCCTGCCCTCGTCACCCTGCTGATCTCCACACTCACGTTCCCTCCGGGCTTCGGGCAGTTCATGGCTGGACAGGTGAGAAAATACTTACACGCTCTTCTGACAGTATGAAAGCATGCCTGGACTGTTGGTAGATGATTGATGGTGATTTTAAATGAAGTGAGAGTTGGTGTCAGGTTGCGGGTCTTTTTCTGCTCCTCTTATTTGAGTTGAAGTTGTTCGGCTGCAGAGAACATTGTCTTTACGGTAATCTGTATCGGGAAACATGGCAAAGAGCCTGTGTGTAGATCTTGGGGATTAAAATTAAAACCATTTAAACAAACAAACAATTTTTGCAACCATCAGAAAACTGGTAGTAATTGCCATAGTGTTGGTAACATTTTATATTTAGGCTTTTCTACCCCATTGATGGATGTTATGAGTTGCTAAAAAACAAAACTTTCTAGATGCAACATTGCAGTATCTCTGCAACAATAAAACCCGGAGCCTCTGGTTCAGATTAAGTGGATGCAGACACTTTGTGCTGCCAGTGGAAACATTTAAAAACTGACACCAAAGTGAAATGTACTTTGAGGTGTTTTAGGGAGAGATGCAGAGCACACCATTTTTGTGCTAGTGCTGCCTACCGCACTGCAAAACCGTCCTGCATAACAAGCCGTTTAGGTGTGGGTTGGGCTGAGAGAATAACTTTTCCCCCCCTATGCTGTCCTTGTTTTCAGACAGTGATGCTCATTTGTGGGAATATACAATATACACAAAACAGAATAAGACAGGTTGCTGCAATGGTATCAAGAAAGTTAGACTGGTTTCTAGAAAAGTGAGTTGTATTGTGAAGCAGGTGAAATGACCTCACCTTGATTTTTTATTTTTTTTCCCCCACTTGCTTTAGAAAATAAATAATAAACCCCAAATGACCAATTAAAATCTTTGCAGTGCACATATAATAAAGAGGATTAAAGTAACACTATGTAAGATTTAGTATTTGCTGTAATTTTGCGCCCCCAGTTGCAATACCACTATCGCAAATATGACAATTTGTACACTTATATTTGTTATAATTACATTACTTATGATCATAAAAGCAAGTCAACAACTTTACTAACACAGCCAAACATCAAGCAAGTGCAACAACACAAGACATAGCAAGCCAGCTAATATAATTCACTAGTCCAACAGCAAGAAGGCCTGGGAAGCGTAGTCTGTCAGGTATGGTGGCTAATAGGCAACAGTCAGATCACTTTTTCTCTTGTGTCAACCCGTCAGCTGACACAGCACGAGTCTCTGGTTGCACTGTTCGACAACCGCACGTGGTGCCGTCACGGCGTGGCGGAGGAGTTTGACTACATCAGCCACCACCACGCCTGGAAACACCCCCAGGTCAACGTCTTTATCACACTCATCCTCTTCATCCTCATGAAGGTAGGCTTTAGACATATAGAGAATGTGAAGGGTTTGATCATGTTTTTTTATGATGTGTCACACAACACTTGTCTCTCTGTCTCAGTTCTGGATGTCCGCTGTGGCCACCACCATGCCTGTTCCATGCGGCGCCTTCATGCCAGTTTTTCTTATCGGTGAATAAAGTCTACTGTGTTTTCTAATGTTTCTCCTGCAGTGGTAAGAACCCCTTAAATAACTTTTCATTGTATCTGTGTGTGACGGACAGGCGCTGCATTTGGCCGACTTGTTGGAGAAATCATGGCGACCATGTTTCCTGATGGCATACATGCTGACGGCAGCGTGTATCCCATAGTTCCTGGCGGTTATGCTGTAGTTGGTGAGTTGCTGTAAATCTGCTGTAATTTTATTAACACTGTACTTAAATTCACCATTTCGTATCTAATTTGCCTTGATAACAGATTTTCAGGTCACTTTTCCTCTCCCTTGTGTGACTGAAATTGACACCAGTGCAAAGCTGCAGCCATTTTTATCAACTCATACCAGCTCATAGAACGTGACTGATGAAAATTGAAAAGTAAAAAAGAAAACCGTTGAATACAAAATTGCCACAGGCGTGACTCAGTGGTTAGTGTGACAGGATGGCGTTAAATGTTATGAATTAGAATGACATCCTGCAGAAAATCTTGTTTGGATTTGCCGTCTTGTACTAAATTCTCCTCCGATTAATAGCACAAACACAGATTTCTAATTTAACATCGCCCATTGAGCTGTCTAATTTTTAATTACTGTTCTAAACATGCCTGATCAAACACGCTAAATCTCCCTCTATTAGTTGCAAGTGAATGGCTTTAACAAGACTAGACAGAAAAAACAATTTTTCTTAAATTCACTTACTCCTACGCAGGTGCTGCCGCGTTGTCTGGAGCTGTCACCCACACTGTATCCACAGCGGTCATAGTGTTTGAGCTGACTGGTCAGATCTCCCACATCCTGCCTGTGATGATCGCTGTGATCCTGGCCAACGCCGTGGCCCAGTCGCTGCAACCCTCGCTGTACGACTCCATCATCCGCATCAAGAAACTTCCTTATCTGCCTGAACTGGGCATGGGCCATCACGAGTGAGTCTTTGTGTCCTCAGGATGGAGTTGTTGACTTGTTTCTTTATTTTTAGGGGGTTTCTGTGCCTTCATGTGTTTTCAGTTTGCCTGTTCTTCATCTCCTTTTTCCCCTCTTTTGTTTCCACACGTCCCTGCTTCCCCTTCTCAATAATTAACTTCTATCTTCTTCCTCCCCTCCTCCATGTTTCAGGAAGTATAATATCCGTGTGGAGGACATCATGGTTAGGGATGTGCGCTTCATCACCCTTAACTCTTCCTATCGGGATCTGCAGGAGATGCTGCTGACTGGTCAGCTCAAAACACTGGCCCTGGTGGAATCCAGAGGTAAGTGCACAGCTTAAACAGCATACAAAAAAAATCCATCTTGGGGTTTAACTTGATACTTGTTCAGCAATCCTTTAAAATTTCTGGACGAGGGGATTGTTTGATTGAAATATATGAATGCTAGTGCCAATATAATAACAGCATTTCAGGACAGAAACTGAGGGTTCAAATGTTTCATTGCATTGCAATCAGCTGAAATGAGTTCACCCATTTGATAGGATTATTTTTTAAATATTATGACCAAAATTTTAAACCTACAGTGCGCTCAGTTGCCAGGTTATTGGGTACACCTACAGTAGCTAAAATGACTGCAGTCTAATACAAGCATCGTGCAATAAATCCTACTTCATGAAGGTTGATCCTATTATCCCACCCCCACTTATTATTCAATGTGGATTAAATATTAGAAACACATTCTGCTATAATGCAATAAAACAACAGCACCACAAACTACATCCTCCAAAATGATCATGCAGTTGAATCAACACCTTTCTAACACAACAAAAACTGACCGTTATAACCTTCAGGAGGGGAGGATTTATTGCTGTATTGTTAGTTGTAGCGAGACGTACCTAATACATTTTCCTGCCTTCCTTCTCCTTTAGAATCCATGATCCTGCTGGGCTCCATCGAGCGGCTGCAGCTTCAGTCTCTGCTCTCTCTTCAGCTGGGCCGCCAGCGGAGGCTGGAGTACCTCCGCCAGCTGGCCCAGGACAACGGCACCCAGGATCATCTGCCCAGCCTGACCACCGACAGCACACCCAGCTCCCCCTGCACCCACACCCACTCCAATACCTCGACCAACACCAACGCTCGCCAAGCGGTCCGCTTCCTGGTGAGCACCCAACAGGTGTGAGGCGTCCGGGGGCGCCAGGGCTGGGGCGAAGTCTGGCTTGGGTTGGGGTTGTAGCGGTAGACTAAAAAGTGGATCAGGCACAGCATGTGAAGCATGTAGCAGTAGGTAAAGGCACAGATGGAGTTTTTGGACAGCTGTTGTGGTAAGTGTTTACAAACTGTATGTGTCCTTTATTTCTATATTTACATTAACACATGTCTTCTGTCTCTCTGTCGTCTGTGCCCTTACCTGTGCTGTCCTGTTTGTTTATGTGCATGTCATCGTATTTGTCTTTTCTGTGTGTTCTGTTGTGGATGTGTGTGTGTGTTTGTGCGCTTGTGTCTGGCCTCCTCTGTTAATATATTCTCCATGTAGATCTCCACAGAGGAGTCTTCCTCCTTCAGTCCAGTGGTTACCAATGTCCAGCTTCCTCTGAAATCTGCCTTGAAAACTGTGTCGGCCATCAGCGACACCGAGACGCCAAATAGTATGTACTTTACACTGATGAAAAAACACCCACACATGCACAGAGAGAGAAAGAGGAGCACTGACGTGGGAAACTGAGAACACACAAAGATAAAAAAAACTGAGAAAGTCATAGTTCAAATCCAAATTTAATAGAAATTTACTTTTTTTTCTCTCCCCAAGGCTCTCAGACCCTCTCCTGTGCTGACCAAGACAAGGAGCTGCTGGAGGTGAGAAACAGAGAAAGATACAATAAATGTGGGGGTGCAAGTGTACTGTATGAATGTGACGCGTATCGTATGCGTGGGTGTGTGTGCTCTCTCTGAGTCCACGCATATGCCGTCAACCTCCTCCTCCTCCTCCTGCTGCTGACAGGCAGGATCCACCCACAGGCAGCAGGGTCTTCCTGTGTGATCTCACGCTGTGGTCGTGGATTTTTGTTTTAAAACCTCTGTGAGTCATTGCCCCCTCACTACACAACACATTCACTGCCAGTCAAATGCTTTTTGAACACCCTACATTTTACCATTTTTGGTAAAGGAAAAACTGCCTTTTAGGAGG